CCCCCCCCCCCCCCCCCCCCCCCCCCCTACAGATAAAGCTACTGTAAGAAAGAAAGATAGACACATGCTAGCTTTGTTTGAACAAAATGCGTGTTGTCTGTTGATTTGAACTCAGCAAAGCGCTTCTAAAGATTGTTCTCTGGGAAAGAAGATGACATTAAAAGCTAAAGACATTGCAGTGGAGAGAGGAGTGAGTAACAGTTGAAACATTAGCCCTGTTGTTGGACAAATACTGTCCTCTGATTGTGTTTGAATAATACAAACCTGCACCTTTAGAGCAATGTATGGAAAATGACACAACTGTATTACAGTTGCATGGTAAGCTAGCCAGATCTCAATGCGTCTTCTGATTAAGTGAGTAGTGATTGCCAAGACCATATCCACACTCATTTAAGATATGGCATTTACCGTGAGGTTACGTTTTATTTTATTCCATAAAAGTACTTTTATCTTTTATGTCATGTTAGCCAAGGTGGTGTTTTTTTCAGGCACCTCCGTCCTTCACCTGTAGTCACATTCTATTTGTTATGACCAGCTAGATGTATAGGAAGATTAATTAATGGATTATAATGATGTCCTGGAAGAGCAGTTCCTTTCCTTCTAAAGTGATATTCCCGATGTATTGTAAAGCGGTACAGCATGTTTGATAATGAATCAACCCTTGTGTCATTTAAACCAGCGTGAAATGCAGTGCTGATAGCCAAAGTTGGGGAATTCTAAAACGATGTCACAACATTCCTTCTAAATTGAACAACCTATGAGGGAAACTATATCCGCAGAATCTGACCTCTGGTCCCGTGTGTGTTGAGTTTGGATCTTTACAAGGCTGAACATGTGGGATTTAATCGACGTCCTGTCGGAAAGACGAGGTACAAAAAAGGAGGAACAGATGGTCATGAATGTCCCAGCTGAGAACTGTGTGTCTGATTGCAGGCTTGTGTCCGTCCCTTACCGCACAGTGTGGCGGTGGTCAAATCATGACTGTTCCTTTGTACATTGTGACCTGAGCTGCCTCTCTCTCTATCTCCACAGGGATCTTAGGCACAGGACGACTTGAGTTTGAGCAGTATGTGAGAGAGTGTGTGTGTGTGTGTGTGTGTGCAAAGATGAATGTTTGGATGTCTTGTTTTAGTGTACTATGTGTGTGTCTGTCTGGCTGTTACTGTCTATTGTTGTCCGTGGTGTCCTCACTGGTCCCTCTCGCTGTCCTCTCTTGTGTATGTGCGACCCCCCCACCCCGCCCCCCCACCTTACAGGAGATTTGGATGGCCATTGGTGGGACCATGCGTCTTGGCATAGCAGCGAGGCCTCCCCAATGTCTTTGGTGAGACATGTGGAGTCCTGCCTTGACCCCTCCCTCCCTCCCTCCCTCCCGCCCCTTAACCCCATCTCTCTCTCCCTCTCACTGTCTCTCTCTCCTCCCCCCCCCCCCCCCCCCATCCCCCCCTTTCTCCCAGAGTCTTTTGTCATTTCATGTTTCCTTCGTTTTATTTACACCTTTGCATGTTGTTTTTCTGTTTTTTCTTTCTGTTTTATCCCACACCTGTAGGGGACAGTCAAAGGGGAAAAAGAAAAACTATTGAGCAGACATTTATGTCCGAGCCGACACACACCTTATCTGAGAGGCAAAAGAAAATGGTGCGCTTTGGGGGACACTCATTTGAAGAGGACTTGGCATGGTGTGAACCGCAGGTTAAAGACTCGGGAGTTGATACGTGCAGTAGCACTACCCTAAACGAGGAGCATAGCCATAGTGAGAAGGTACTGAGACAATCTAGCCTGCATTTTGTTATTATTATTATTATTTATGACCTACCCATCCAGTCTTTGTTTGCTCTTTGTCACTCAGTGTACGTAGGTGAGATGTTTGTTTTTCTGGATTTTATTTGACGTTGTACAAATTGATTTCTCTTGCGATTTCGTTCCTCTTTTTCTTTTTTTTTTTCTCCGGTTACTATTGGCTCCACCTTGCTCGGTGTTGCAAAAAACGTCTCTTTTGGGGGCACCCTCTTTGCTTGCTACTTGTACTTGCTGTTTTGCTCCCCAACCAGAAACAACACACCTTACAGTAGTTGTTAAAAAAAAAAAAAAAAAGAGCATTGACACACAACCTCTCTGTTTTGTCATGGCACACAGGAATGTGGGTCTCTCCTAGTCGCATGCTCGTTCTCCTCCGTATGTTGTGTCCTTGCTCTGCAGCGGTCCTGTTTAGTGCAGCAGGAACACCTTTTACTCAGGCCCGTCCCTCTCACTCTGCTGCCCCCCCCCCCCCCCCCCCCCCCCCTCCCCCCCACACACACACAGCACCCAGTCCAGACAGAACCGCCCCCTTGCCCAACTTTCCACTCACTTCTGTAGCAAAAACCCAAATGACTGTTTAAGCACACAAAACAGGGAAGACTGGATTTGTTTTGCACAAAAAATTTAAAAAAATGAAAACACGTTTTTCTTTTTTCCCTTTCCACTGCGTGTCTGTGATTTCACCCTATCCGTGTCTCATGGCTTTATTCTGTGCGGTGTATGTTTCATCTTTTTTTGATCTTTAAACTGGCACCTCATGGTCCACCTCATATCGTATCATAGACGACCCCCCCCCCCCCCTCCCTCCCCCCTTTTTCGCTGTCTGCTTTCCCCTCACTACTCCACTGGATGGTGGTTGTGTGTTTGTGTGTAGCGAAGCACTGGACTCCGGTGCTTCCTGCTCCGGTTTGAAGAGCTAGTTTGAGGAGGAGTGTCGGGCTGCTTGCTTTACTCTGCATGGGGCGCTGCATGAAGCTCACTCCGCCCTCACACCGGCAGGTTCACACAAGCTCCTCATCAATAGTTTTTTCCATGATTAGCTTAATTATACTATCCTTTAGAGTTTAAATAATTCAGCGTGTTGCTATCTAAAAAGACAAAGATCAACTGTATTGATGAGGCAACAGAGTTTGTGTGAACTTTCTTCCCTGAGTGAATAAACACTCCCCCCCATGCCCCGCCCTTTTTTCACTGTGAACAGTTGTCTGCTTTGGTCTGAAGTAATCAAATTCAAACGGATGAGTTGTTAAACAGTAGGTGTGTTGCTCTGACCTTGTAGCACCCGGTGACGTGGCAGCCGTCCAAAGATGGGGATCGCCTAATAGGCCGTATTTTACTCAACAAGCGCATGAAGGACGGAAGCGTGCCTCGAGACTCAGGAGCTCTGCTCGGTCTGAAGGTGAGCTCATAATGACTCTGTCTGAAAGGTATGATGCACACACACCCACGTTGAGATACCCAACAGTTCCCACCATCATCATACTGCCAATATAATGTGTCAAAATATACACGTTTGACATGTATGACACAAAATATGATGGCAATAGATGTCAGCTGACCACACCCAGGAATTCTGGGTAAAGTCGATAGACCAGGTGACTGTCAGTGTTGGTGATGTTAACATACAGTATAATAACTTCTCGGCTGTGAATTCTACTATTTTGTGGCCTTTTTGATTGCATCATAGTCCTGCTCAGTATTAATATTCATTAAAGACTTGATTATGCTCCTGACGAATATTAATGAATAGCGTTTGGCATTGAGCCATGTCATTTTTTGAACTCACTCACACTGAACTACTTTAATGAACTGCATTCAGCAGCTCGCAGGAAACACATCAGTGTCGTCACTGCCCAAACAACTGAAACATTATTTGCACATTGCACATTGCAGTCTTTATGTCTGGAATAGCACCATCACAGTCCCCTAGGTATTTAAATCGTATGCTTTTAGTGCTGTATAACCTTCTCCTATAGGTCATTCTGGCTTCACATGATCCGTTGTAGTCTTAGTTTGTTGTTGCAGTGTAGTCACTAGATTGTCCGTTGTGCAAGATGCTTTGGTTTCCCTCCCCTTTTCACTGTTGCATAAACCTGTAGGTGGTGGAAAAAAGAAATAAAGCTGAGCAGCCAAAGTCCAGAGGAGCATGCTTGGACATAAAGAGAGAGATGGGGAAAAATCATTACTGATTGAATGAGCCTCCTGAAACGGCATGTTTGTGTCTGCTCAGTGCCTCTGTGCGTTTCTGTCCGCTCAGCAGCAGCCAGCCAACTCAACAGTCCAGTCAGTCAGTCCACCAGTCAGGCTGCCAGCCTCGCCCTCTCTGTCCATCTCTCTCTCTCTCTCACTGTCCATCTCTCTCTCTCTCACACTGTCCATCTCTCTCTCTCTCACACTGTCCATCTTTCTCTCTCTCTCTCTCTCTCTCTCTCTCTCTCTCTCTCTCCCCCCCTCCTCTGCGAGCCTCCTTCTCTGGCTCCTGCCCTGTTACATAAAGCCATTTCATTTAGCAGACTTCCCTAAGCTCCTTTGTATGTTGGCATTCAGCTGCCATTAGGAGAGATTTTTATTTGTATGATGCTCATGTAAGCTGAGTCGAGTGGAGTACAGCAGCTCAGGACTGTACAGTACGGCTCTAGCCCACGGGACGGCACTGTCACTGACCCACAGAGTGTGTCCGTGGGGGAGAAGGCATAGCCCTGAACATTTGTTTTTTTTAAACGGAGATGCACTTTTACCAGTGACCCTCTCCTTAATGCTTTTATTGAGGATTCATACCTTGCAGGCAAAGGCTAAAGCCATGACATCAACAGCAGACATTGAGGGGACAACAATCTTCTTCTGCAAGCTGCAATTATGTCCTGAATAGTTTTCACATCAAGTCCGCAGTTATGACAACACCAACACAAAGTGGGTCTTCACATGCATGTCAGTGCTAACCCCGTCACCTCTCTGCTTCTACAGGTGGTGGGAGGCAAGATGACAGAATCTGGTAGACTTTGTGCTTTTATCACTAAAGTGAGGAAAGGAAGTCTAGCAGACACTGTTGGACACCTCAGACCAGGTACTAAAACACAAACACACACACACACTTGTATGTAGAATCTCAAATAGTGGATTTATTCAATAGGCTTTAGAGGAGCATGATGATGTGTATTTTCTACACTTGCATGAAAGATATCCTGCTTGACTTTGAGTGTCTCTTTTTTTCCGCAGGTGACCAGGTGCTGGAGTGGAATGGGAAGCTATTACAAGGAGCCACATTTAAAGAAGTTTACAATATCATTCTAGAATCTAAGCCTGAGCCGCAGGTGGAGCTGGTGGTCTCGCGGCCTATAGGGTGAGAGCTCACCGACCCTCACCGTCACACACTCTATATGCTCTTCACCAGACCGTTGTGCCACCGGTGTTATGGAGCAGTAAGGGCCGGGGCATTGGAACAGACGGTCTGTGGTGTTACGCACGAGGAATAATTCTTGCATTTATGTTACTTATTGTGGCTTTTATCTTTAATGAATTAAGTAAAGAGTAATCAGTCTACCTGTCTCTTACCAGTGGAATACCAGGATATCTTCCAGGTCCTTAAGACAATGAAAAAGAATAATAAGTTGGAGAGGATGAATTTATTATTCATAGTAAATGCCATTATTCTGCCAAGTAACTAGTGCTAGGGCAACATAAACAGGTTTAAATGTTGTTGAGCTTTTAACATTAATTGAACAGTTGTGCAATTAATGCACATTCAGCTAATAACTTTAGATGTGATTCAGTCAATCAGATAAAACAAAGGTATTATTAAAAAATACTTCCTTACATGAATGAACAACATGCATTTCCCAAACTAAAACCAATTAAAGCAAGAATAACGCATCGGGTTGTGATTACATCACTTTACATTGATATTTATTTTTCAGTTACTTCCTATATTCCCTATATCTGACCTGCTTTGTGCTGCCGAGGGAGCTGCTGGGTGAATGAAGACTAATGCGGTGCTTACGGTCATTAGAGCAAGGGTGCAGTCAGCATTAGCTCAAATTGATCCTTTCCATCCCCTCCCTCTCTTTTGTCTCACACGCTCGGGCTCACACACACTCTCTTCTTTTTCCAGAGATATTCCAAGGATACCAGACAGCACACATGCACAACTGGAATCAAGTGAGTCTTGAGAAGCTTTAGCCTATTTCATTTCCCCGTTTTATTCTATTATTCAGCCTCGAAACATCAAGTGAATGAAATGTCTTGCTTCTGTCACTCTGCCTCTCTGTCTCTCTCGAGGCATGCTTTCTTGCCCTCTTTCTGTCTCTCTTCTCGTCTGTGTCTCTCTATCTTCCTTACTACCCCCTCTCTCATTTTCATTTCTCGATGTCACTAAAACCACAAGCTACGAACCAGCATCACCACTGAATAATCTGACTGCGTCGTCTCTGGCCCTGTCAGGTTCGAGTTCTTTTGAGTCTCAGAAGATGGATCGCCCGTCCATCTCCGTCACGTCCCCCATGAGTCCCAGCATGCTGAGGGACGCCCCCCAGTACCTGTCAGGACAGCTCTCAGTAAGCGACCTCAGCATGACTGTATGTGAAATCCTCTGTTAGATATTGACCACTGTTGAAAACTTATGAGTAAGATGGGTCATTACGTTCACATGACTACATTTTGACATGTACTACTAAACTCACATTTATAACGCAATGCAACCTTCAATCCTGGATCAAACCACTGGGCTGCCGGGAACAGCTTCTCTCACTCTGCCTGTTCAGCTGGAGCTTTACCAACCCAGCACCGGATTGTAGATCAGGTTACTGTGTGTCTTGTCCATTATCTAGTGTAAATACCCTCCTGGGGTAAATTGGGTAAAGGGCTGCATTAAAGCAAGAGATGAATCAACCCTCAAATTTAGGGTCCAGCAGGGAAGTAGCTATAGCATCTAGGTAACACCTCCAGGACATTGATATTTAAAAGAAATAGCTGGGTTTTAAGGCTGATACCACGGCCAATCTTCACAATCATTTCTGAATATTTTCAGCTGATTTCAGTTGCTGCAGTGGACTGTAGAATAACGTGACTCACAATAATACCTTTAGCACTGCGTCAACCAATTCAAAACAAGCACTGAATTCTTCTTATGTTCCACATTGAGGCGACTGACCCTGGAATTCAAAAACAAGTGATCAGTGAAACAGTTCAGTTCACTGAATTAACCTTGTGAGTTCTTCACGATGGTATTTTTGGAGCCGTCGTTAAATTGTCTGTCGGGACAACGAGGGTTTTAACGTCACTGTGACGCACGCCTTGAAGCAGAGGATGAACGGTCCAGAGCAGAGAAGAGATATGATCGGGAGGCAATGATAATTACCAAGGGCCCGGGCAGAACAGAGCACAGAAGCTCAGGGACAAGTGATCAGAAAAAATGAAAATAGCAATGAACCCACCGGCCTAAATGGCCCATCTGAAACTACAAACTTCTGTTGTTGTTGTTGTTTAGAGTGTATTGTATGTTTTTGTTAGTAATTTATGGGATTTTGGTTTTATTGCATTTTCTTTTCTGTTCTTTTTTTTTTTGCTGTTTAATTGTGCTTATCCAGAGCCAAAGCCTTAGTAGAAGAACAACGCCTTTTGCCCCTAGGGTCCAGGTAATGGGCCCCCTCTGAAGGGCACAATCTCTATATTTGGTCTTTGCTCATTGACTGTTGACTGGCTGACTTTCTGTTTCCATACTTTGGAAAAATGCATTCGCGGGGAAATGGCAGCTTCAAGTTTCCCTCAGTGCAGTGCATTGTGTCATTCTTTTCAATTTGATTTACGATGAGTGTTACTATCTCATTTTAACCCTTCACCTCATTCCTCCTAGGTTATGCATGCTGGACTAATCCGCACACGTTTACAGAGACACTCTTCCGTTGCCTGATTTGACACCAGTAATTGACCCCGACATCGTGTCGTACATCTCTGTATCTTTGGCAATGCGGGAGGGCGTCTCCCTGAACTTTCTCAGGACAAAGGACTTGTGTCATTTTCTGTTTCAAGTGACATGAACCCAGTCCTGGTTAACCCTACACTCATCTACAGGAGTTATGTTCATTAGCAGCTTGTGGTGGATGGGTCTGCAGATTCATGTTGCAGTGAAAAGATACCAAGTTCACCATATTGTGTTTGAAACAAACTTTTCTTTTCCAGATGAGAGTTTAAGCAAATTGTACCTCCCAAATGGCAAACTGAACAAAGCTTTGAAAGTGTTCCTTCGCGCCGAGGGTCCTCTTTAATATCACTGAGCCTTTTCTCCTGGTTTTGGTTAATAACACGCAGCATACTCACTTTGTGTGAATCTATATTCTTGATTCAGGTAGCATGAAGGTTAACACTCCTACTGTGACACTAACAGTATGTTGTTTTACCTAAAAGTACCTTCACGAAGCTCTGAATGATATTGGCATTATGCATAGAGCATGCAGGTGAGCTTTTTCAAATTTAGAGGCAGTCTGAAGACATGACATGGCATTTGAATGGAGGTCAATAAGTGTTTTTTTTATGTGTGTGCGTGTTAACGTATGCACTTTTGGAAAAGCTTGTATGTTTCAGTGAATTCGTTATTTGAAGTACACATTGTAAAGTCACACAGTTTGTATACTTGAGTTCTTTACTATGAACCAAGTGTTGTCACTCATAATATAATCTACATGATTCCAAGGGGAATCTTTTCAGAAATATTGTACCATTCACAGATAGAACACTGTACTCATACTTTGCGGTATCTGGTATTTTGGTGGGCTACAGGTTTCGAGATTACTTGGTACAATTTGTTTTCCCATAAGCCCTCTGCTGTCTGTTTTTGCATACATGAAATCTACTGACTCGAATGCTCTTTCTTGCGTTGCTGCACGTATAGCTGGTAGTTGATTTTTAAATGGCGCAGACCCTTTCCACAATCATATTTTCGAAGAAGTATGGACAGAAGCTTAGAAGTTTTATTTCTCATTTCATCTACTTTCTGTGAGGCCTCAGTTGGAGTTTTTTCTTCTTCTAAGTGTCTTCTTTTGGAGTCCATACTTCCCTTTTAGTGTGAACTGTCTTTGATTCCTGTCGCAACAGCATGATTGATTTCTCCATATCGATGCCCATTAAATATCCGAGAGACCATTATTAGAGGCAGCATCATCACTGGTAGACGGTCTCATTTCAACAGAGCACACTGTTCATTTTAGAGCATGTTGCCTTCAGCATTTCACTCCAATTCACTTCAGTGGAAATGACATCCGGGCCAAATGCATTCACTTCCATTCGATGAGATTTATTCATCCCTGCAGGGGAAGTTTTTAATGACCAACATAAACACATTCATTTTACAACACTTATCGTAATAGAAAAAAAACAACACAAAGATATGTTTTAGCACCGTGCACAAAAACACATCTTTCTATTAAAGGAGGGTCTCTTTAACCATCGAAACTAAAATATCATAAATACATTTTTGGCATCATCATACCATATTAACACTGATACAGTAAGTCCATGTTTTATGAGCACTTAAAGAGATCATTTTTTTTAAAGGGGTCGTATGAGGTATTTATCCACAGTCAGTGTATCACTTACAGTACATGGCGGTCAGCAAGGCCCCACTTTGAAGAAACAATCAGGAGCTGCTACGTGTCTGTTTATCCAAACTGGGGGGGAGGGGGGGAAGTACAACATCTACTGTAGGTACACTGACTATGGAATTAACTCATACAACCCCACTTCAAATAATCTGAACTATCTCTTTAAACTCTGATAAATTGTGCCGACCAAGCATGTGACTTGACATCATCTTAGCAGGTAGACATATTCCTCCTCTTCCTCAAAGGGTAAATACAGGAGAAGACTCTATGCTGTAGCCGTAAACTGTCGGCTCGAATGAGATATAGGTCTCAATAAAAGAAGACACAAATGCTCCTGTAGTAGCTATACTTCTAATTTGATGCAGTTGTCTTCTCCTGCATTAGTCCCTCTGTGTTTTTATTCCTGTTGTGCCCTGATCAGTCCCTCAGCAGGCTGTCTCTGCTCTGCCCCTGCAGGTCAAACTGTGGTATGACAAAGTGGGCCATCAGCTAATTGTCACCATCCTGGGCGCCAAAGACCTGCCAGCCAGGGAAGACGGCCGGCCCAGGAACCCTTACGTCAAAATCTACTTCCTCCCTGATAGAAGGTAAGAGTAGAAACAGTTACCATTTTACCCTCCCCACTCATTTAATGTCACTTCAATTCACTCCGTCCAGGAGGTTATTGGACACTAGTGGGCCAAACTGATTATATATCTTAAAAAATGGATTCTGTGTTAGTGTGGATTTTTTTTGGAACAATGTCACAAGGTCATGTATCAATGTTTATTTGTCCGTTAGCATCAGGAAAGCCTGTAGGGATATAAGTGGATGTGTCTGACTACTTTGTTGGTCGTTCAGTGCAGTTTCTTTCTTATGCACTGATAGAATGCAGGAAGTGGACATGTTCCTCACTTTGCCATCTCATTGCCATCATCAGCATGCCACGGTGATGTGCTCTGTGCTGTGTCGTGTTGTTGATCTGTTGTATTCGTGGCTCTTCCCTATCATGGTTGTAAATAAAAACAGTTTGAATTATTGTTCCTCCAGCGACAAAAGCAAGAGGAGAACAAAAACGGTAAAGAAATCCTTAGAGCCCAAATGGAACCAGACCTTTATGTATTCGCCGGTGCACCGGCGGGAGTTTCGGGAGCGCATGCTGGAGATCACATTGTGGGACCAAGCCAGGGTGAGGGAGGAGGAGAGCGAATTCCTGGGAGAGGTAAGAAAACCAAACCCCACCCATCAGGGACACTCACTGACAGTATCTCAGCTAATCCGCTCGAATGGGGTCAAGCCCTTGATAAAGCTCTTTCAAGGTTGTGGTGGTCCAGTCCTTGTCCAACACGGACAATGAGCTTTGTTGTTTTTATTTACTGTATAAAACTGTTAAATAAAGAGGGAAGGGGTTGTTTTGGATTGACGCTGACTGTAAGAGGCCTATGAGTATTGTGGCACAAGTGCGTGTTGCTGTAATTCCATCATTAAGAAAAAAATGATGTTAGTTTGCAACCATTTGCAGTGAAGACATTTTTGACCGTGGACTTTTTTTTTTTTTTTTCTCTGGCAGATCCTTATTGAGCTTGAGACGGCTCTTCTGGACGACGAGCCGCACTGGTACAAGTTACAAACCCACGACGTGTCCTCCATCCCACTCCCACGTGCCTCCCCGAACACACAGCGCAGGCAGCTCCATGGAGAGAGTCCAACGCGGCGGCTCCAGAGTGCGTAACCCCTCTGTCACTGACGCATGTCACACACCTTTGATTGACACCTTGAAATTAATTGGCAAGGCATAACGGAAGGGTCATGCCACTTAACATTTACAAACCATATCAGTTATAAAATAACTTTACTAAAACCAAAGACAAGACATTTTACTGTGTGGCTACATTTCAAAACTTGCTTAACAATCTTGTCTATAATAGAGCACACGAAGTAAAGAGAATGTGGGTATAATATAAATTAATTGAAAGAATTACTGAAGTCGGTTCTCCTCGGGCACTCGTCTGAGTAGGTTGATCCAAGGTGATTTTCTAAAGTTACAATCTTTTTATTAACAAAATTCCCTCTTTTTCTTTGTTGAGACTACCAACATTGTTATTGTCACGGTACTTGGCAGAGCTGGCATGCAAGGAACATCACGGTTACAAGACGGCCAGCGAGTAGCGGTCATGTAGCTAAGATCAGGATCAAATCAAGATAGACTTCAACACAGTAAACCTCTGGCCCCACTGGTTTTCTGTTCCTGCTTTAGTTAACTAATTAACTAAGGCTTTATTAACTGATGTAGTTTATGCGGATGTTGTGTTTGTCGGGCATGTCACATCAACTTTACTGCTTCTGCTTTTACAGACAAGGGCTCATATTCATACAACTCAGGTAAAGACCCCCCCCCCCAGGCAATGCTGCTCTCAGTGTTCTCCTGTCCTCTGCAATGATGCATCTTTGTGCCCTGATCTCCAACCTTGTCCATCCCTCATGAAGGGTGCATGTCTCTGCTGCCTTACATGGACTTCAATGGGGGGGGGAGCTGGTGTACATTTTTACACCACTCGTCTGAAATCCGCTCAGGGTATCCGACACATGCACGCTCCAGGGAAACAGAGGTTAAGGACACAGTGGTCTCTCCCTCTCTGTGTAATCACCTGTGAACTACCTCACAATCCTGTCCTGCAACCCGGAAACCATATCCTGCAAAACGTGATGTGCTAAAAACCCAGGCGATCTGCCAGTCCTGGCAGACACAATATGCTTTGATTTTGACCACTTGCCTTTCCTCTGTAATGCATTATTTTGGTCGTTACCGACATTTCCCCTTTTAAGAATGCACAAAATGCTTTTGGCAAACTCTGCAGCCCATTCTACTTTGCTTGTGCTTGTGTGTCTTGAACGTTTTTTTGATCATGGGAGACATTAGATGATGCTGGTGCCATACTTAAAACAGTGGTGGTGTCTTACGTTAGAGAAACGGAAAAAGTTGATTATCTTTATGCCCAATACATTATTTAGCCGGCGTCGTATTTTCTCTAACTGAACCCCAGAAATAGCTCATCGTGTGGCCCTTCTCTCACCATTCTGTGAGCAGTTAGTGGTGAACGTGCTTCACACGGCTGTACTGTAGTCCGCGTTACGCAGCACTGCTTCACTGTGCTGCTCCTACTACACCCCCCCACCAGGATGATTTTCTGGCCGTTTGTGTAAGTGTGAGGTGAAAGAGCTGACAGCTGTAAAAAGTCTCCAGCCAACTGAGATGAGAGGTTTGGAGCGGCGCTGCCAGAGTGCAGTACTTGTCATTTCTGAAAGAGCACACTAGTCCGGTTGATTTAAGTTGACTGAACGGTGAAGGCGGTGTGTGTGTGTGTGTGTGTGTATGTGTGTGTGTGTGTGTGTGTGTGTGTGTGTGTGTGTGTGTGTGTGTTGGGGGGCTTCAGGGAGGGGTTCATACTTTAGAGAGAGGGGACAGGGAAGAACAATAAGGCTTCCGTGTAAGATGAAGAAATAGCTGTAACGCCACATCACTTCTCCCACCCCCACCTTCACATACAAATTGAATGATTGAATGTATTACCTCAAAGTGCCACAGTTCAGATGAAGACAGATCTACTGTTTTTTTGTTGTTGGCGTGGATCAGTGAAATGCGGCATTATTTGTTACAGCTGATGCGTAATTAGACATAAATCATCCAAAGCGCTCTCCTACAGGACCGTTTGTTGTCGTTGTGGGGTGTGATGACGGGTGCACTTCTTAGGGTAAATAAATGAACGAGGGAATGAAGATGTCTCTTGTATTTTCCAATGTTTCTCTCTGTCTCTTTATCTCGAAGGATCCCAGAGGATAAGTGACAGCGAGATCTCAGACTATGATTGTGAAGATGGTGTTGGGGTAATAACAGGTAATATATTATGGTCATATTAACAAGACTCATGAGTGCATGTAAATGGCTTCTGAAAAAGCAAAATGAGCCACTGTGGAGGTAAAGTGGCAACATAGTTTGAAATGTTTATTGGGCTGGTTTCACCAGACCGTATTATATTTTTCAGTTTTATTTCAACCTCACCACCTACATGCCCACCATCCGTCAAATGCCTCCTTGGCCTGAACATCTTACAATAGTGTTATATATCACATTAGCAGGGTGAAATGCTGCAGCAGCACAGCGAGGGAGCACTGAGATTTTGTCTGCCTCTGCACTGCTAGTTGCTGTTCTGCTGTGCTCACCGAGGCTCCAGCAGCACGCCCACGCTGCACATTAGAAGAGGAGAAGCTCTGCTCTGTTGTTTGCAGCCAGAGAGCCAGAGAAAAACGGCAAAAAAGAAAGACTGAAAAGTACTTGGTATTTGCCCACACACGATATCAACCTTGAAGGAAACCGCGCTGAAAGAGGCAGCAGAACATAGAGACTTGCTTTTGTGTTCTCATGCAAAAGATAGTAATGCAGTATGGTCTTTGTGGCAGGGCTACAGAGACAAAGAGAGGGAAAGAACATGAGACATAGATGAGAAATGCATTGGAGAGAGAGAGAAGAGAATAGATTCAGTTGCTGTCAGACACACAGACAGCATCGGCCTGGACTCGCTGATGATACTGTAGCTGAGGGAAATCCCCCTCCAGTCCAGCCTCTTTAACATTCTCATCAGCCCCGCACTGCCTCACCATGCCAGGCAGTCACCTTCACTTCATTCACAGTGAAGGGAATACCCCTTCATTCAGCCTTGGTCGCACCCTTCTCTTTACACAGGCTCCACCACATCTCAGTCTGCACTGCAGCATTAAAGGGACAGTTCACCCCCAAAACCAAAAAGACATGTTTTTCCTCTTACCTGTAGGGCTATTTATCAATCTAGACTGTCTTGGTGTGAGTTGCCTAGGTTTGGAGATAGAGATGTCTGCTTTCTCTCTTCATATAATATGACTATATGGCACTCAGCTTGTGGTGCTTGAAGCGCAAAAGAACTGCATTTGAAAAAAACCTCAAATGCCTCTCTCCAGAAATCATGACCTAGTTACTCAAGATAATCCACAGACCTCGTTGGGAGCAGTCTCATGTAGGAACTACTTTCTTTCTACCGAACTACACCCGCTAACCGAATCAGCGCGCAGAAGGAAGTGTTTTTTGGGGTGAACTGTCCCTTTATACTGCTGACACTATTACTTTTAAAGGGGGACGAGAAACATTTTTTATTGCATTTTATCTTCCGGTAAACTAACTACCTGGTTTCTAGTTGTCCGGTCCATTCAGTATATCATAGGTGAACTGTCACAGGTACTGCTTATGTCTTTCAAAGTATAACTCCTGTTATTGGACTCTTTTGATGGAGTTTTAGAAGTGAAGTCACATGTTGAATATTTTGTACAGTACAATTAGATTTGCTTTGACCCCTCAGTCCCGTCCCTACTGTCCTTCTGCTCCGATGCAGCCCGCTCCTCTTGTTCAATCCTGTTAATCCTCAGTGAAGGTTCTCCTCTTTAGAGGTGCTTAACAGACGGGCTGTACTCATGCGTCAGGCAGCCTGTCAAGAGGAAGAATAGATGAATTTGGTCTCTGCATGGTGTTCAATTGCTCTGCTGCAGGAGGCTCTGTGTTGGAGCTGTTAGATGAATTCCTTTTTAAATCTAATCTGCATCATGATGAAGAGAAGATATTGTTAATTTCTTCTCCTTTTTAACTTTTGTTTATTAGGATTGGTATACAAATGGTCAGAAATGATCAGAATTTCAGAATTGGTTCACGTGCGATGAAGATGAATGACTTAGTTTGAATATTTGAATCTGTCTGTGTGGTCAACTCTTTCAGTCAAACTTCGTCTAGTGAAGGTCAACATAACATTATCTCTAATTTTTCCTACCTTTCCTTCTTTTCCAACGTTTGATTCAAGGTTTTCCTCAACTCATTTTAAGTGCTATACACTCTATTGAATATCAATCAAGTTTAATAGTGCTAAGCATTGACCTTAACCATGGCTGCAAGCCACGTCTGATTATTGGTTAATGAACTCTTTCAAGTTCAATTGACCAATCAGCCTCGCAGAGAAAATTCATTATAATGTTTCATTTATTTATTTATTTTTTAAAGGATTTTTTTCATGCACAATGTTAACACAGCAGATGAATTCCACCAATATTGAAACTTAGACCTCGTTTTTTGGAATATAGAGACTCAGCATAATGAAAAAAGAAAAGCTGTGCCTCTGCAGATTAGCATCTTAGCACACGTTTTATAAAGTTTGGTCTGTTATTAAAGGCTGGGGTTAAAGTGGGTCTGCATCATTAGCTGCCATCATTTTTCATGATCAAATGCAGCACATTTAGCCATATCACTCGCTCAGAAATACAGAAAATTCACAAAGTGTTGAAGGGAAATTAGCACAGAAATTTTCTGAAAAAACAACAACACCCTCTTCATCTTGTCCCTCCATCCCTCCCTTCCTCTATCTGTTCTTGTCTTCCCAGACTACCGGCCGAATGGCAGAGACTTCCAGAGCTCCACGCTGTCCGTCCCTGAGCAGGTGATGTCGTCTAACCACTGCTCTCGGTCGGCTGACATTAACCGAGCGCGGTCGCGCTCTCCCAGCGTCCCCCCACCCTCCAGGTAACTACTGGGCTGGATTTCTGGGTGGAAACTCTCTGTTTTGTATTTAACACCCTGTTGAAACCCTTTTAGCCTTAATTTCCTTTATGGGATCCATAGGGTTCAGGGACTGTACTGCCTTCTGAATGCCACGTCATTAGCCCCACATGTATGAATGATGCAGTATTTCTCGCGTTACTCTGAATGCCTCACATAAACATGAGGCGATGTGCACCTCGCCCCCCCCCCCCTTGGCCAGTAGGGGTCAGTGTGTGGTGTGTAAACTACATGAGGGGTGATCCGGTCCACTTCTGTCACACAGCAGAAGTCTGGACCCAGCCTTTGACCTTAGGCCTTCTCAGTACAGCTCTTCCACTAGAGTGGACCACCACAGTGTGTCCGAAGATAACTACTCACCTGACAGGTACACACACACGCGCTCCAGCTTACACTTGTGTCCAGTGGATGCATGCACATACGCGGGCATGCATGGAGCAGATGCTGACAAGCACAAGTGGGTGAGCAGAAATGCAGGGAGGTGTTTATGCACGCATACACTTAATGCACGACGCCGTCTGCCTTTAACTCTCTGGGAACTGATGTTGTGTGTGGGTACTTTTAATCTCTCTTGTATTCCTGCTTTTAGAGAGCAACTTTCTCCATTCCTTGGAAATAATTGATCATAATATTTTTAAATCCGATACAAAAGCGCGGATTCAAATAAGTTGTATCACATTTAAAATCCTACATGAACACTAAACTGTACCACTGCACCACGTAAGAGGAGTAATTAACAAATGAGTGTTTTCCATCTTATATCAAGCATGCAGGAAACAGTCCAGTGCTTCAAATGCTGCATACAGCATGCATCATTTGCATGTATCTCGCTATCTTTATGGAAAAGGTGATTGAGGGGAAGTGGTCAGTTATCCCCCATCAGCACTTTTTTTTCTGTGAGGGTTGGAAAATGTTGCTCCAAGAGTCCAATCACAGCCTTGGCAGTGCCAGGCCGCAGCTACTTTCCCCCGTCCAATTAAGTTTATTTGATATTTCTGAGGCTTGGCCTAAATCAGTGTCAGACGCAGAAAATGCACTTATCTAAATTGTCTGGGACAGTGCTCACTTGAGTGTACTTCAGCTGCTTTAATTAACAGTGGCCGGTTATTTATTATAAACAGTTTAAAATGACACAGGATATGAGTCACAGAGAATTTGGAAATGTACCAGAACTCTGACAATATGAAAAAGAAAAATCTTGTTTTTGCAAATGTCTCCCATGTATTTTCCTACTTTTTGAAATGTTGTGTCTGTAAAAGAAGAAATCTTATGTAATGTGCATGGTCTTAAGTTTTTTTAGCCATGCAGTAGAAGTGACACCAAGCAGGTTTAGGTGCCTGGACTTTGCTTCTCCGCTCTTCCCTCCCTGAATGCTGCCGGTGTGCTCGGTGTACCGCTTTCATCTGTCGGTGTGGTAAAGCTGAGGAAGACATCTTCTCAGCATCTCTCATCTTCCTCGCCTGTTTTTCCCCCCTCTTTGAAACCGTCACATCAACCTTTCCTATGAGCTTTCTCACTCTCTTTACGTCGTTATTTCTTTGAGAAATCTCTCTCCCTCCGTTTCCTCACACCTCCATCTGTCTGCCTATGATTCTGTGTCTCTCCTTTCCTCCTCCTCCTCCTCCGCGTCTTCCTCGGCGCCATCTCAGATCCATCTCTGTCTTCTCTCCTCCCTCCATGTGGTCGCAGCCATTTTCTCACCCTACCTCGAACCAGACATACTCAGCCTATTGATGATCCTCAAAACGACCCCAGGTAGACTTTTACCTGAGCATGCATGAAGCCCCATCTCAACCCCTTTCTTTTCTTTGAGGAAGTCTTTCATTTGGGCGTTGATCACATGGCACTGACGCGATGGCATGTCTTCAATCACTGTAGTCAATGCACAACATGTTTATTTTGGGTTGCACTGAAATGGATGCTTCATGTTATCTGGCCATTGTCAGTGACATCAGCGTTGTGTTAAGTATATATTTCTTCTGCAAAAGATCAAATATATATACATTCTGTGTGTGTGTGGTACAGTACATTGAGAAAATGAGTGACCGTACACTTCATCCATCCAGTATCAGCATTGCTTATTCTCTCTTTTCATCACCTCAGTCATTCTCATGTAAACATTCCTCTCGTTTTGCTCCAAACATTTGCCATGTGAGCAAGTGTGATGACCACCAAAGAGTGACTACGGCAATACTGAACACGGATAAGTGTTGGTTGGTTGTGAAGTTTTGTCCAGCAGAGGTGGTGTTAGAATTCAGCTTATATGTAATCACTGTGGATCTGTGTTATAGGCATGTTTTCAGGCAGAGAACAGTATGCAATGGAAAAGAAATGGTGTACTCCAAGTTGTCTTCCCTTGCAGTTTATTTTGTTTTTTATGTTGCTTCCCCTTTTGATGGAGAAAGAAATTAAATTCTGACCAGCTCTTGATATTTTCCCGCCAGCCGCAACCATCGCGTGTACCCAATCTGCCGAGAGGAAGCAGTCAGGTTACTGCGTTCCACTAGGATGGCCCGCGCCTATTCTGAGGGCGCCTACTCCTCCGACTATGACTACGAGAGGTATTGACATGCACTGCCGCTGCATCCGTGCATCCGCCATCTTGTGGTCCCCTCAAGTTGTCCCTCGTCCGTCTTTGATTTATCCGTGGTCGTACATGTGATGGCAGAAAATGATATCCTGTCTCGATATCGGTTTTTGCTAAAAGCGTCATCACAGCTCTGAAGTTGCGTAGATGTGAAACGTTAATACACAACTGCCTCTGTATGTCGAGGCCTCAGAGCTATTTGTGTTGCTGACGCCGGCTCTATGTCTCCTGGTTGTTGGGTTAATTGCTGGCCAGCCACCTTACTGTCTATTCGTTGATGTCCTTGTTTATGTACCCATGTACATTATGCCAAAAGCAGTTTGTTGCTCAGTGGTGTGTGTCAATTTTAGTGTTGTCCTTTATTTTTACATGCTATTGGCAGCTGCGTATCGCTCACCTATACAATGGCATCTCTGATGCATTGCTCTGGGCTGCACAGTAGTTTTGTCAATTCCGTGTTTTGCCCTTTGGCTTCTAGTGTCTGGCCGTTCCAAGCAACCATAGAAAGGCCTGCTGACACCCATCCATCCACCCCCAGGACCCATGCCAGCATCCTGATGCACCAATAAAAAGAGCCCCCCCCCCTCCCCCGACAGAGAAAGCTGTAAATGACTCTACTTTTCTCTGTCTTCAATCTTTCGCCTGCTGCCATCTGGCTTTCAGTCAGGAATAACGTGACGTTTGTGCCATTTATCTGTGCTCCAAGAGGAAAAAAAGTGATGAGTCCTCAGAACCCAGCCCGAGAGCCTGACTGACTTTATTAAAGTGTCACAAAGTTTCCCTGAGGCCCGGCTTGGCTCGACTTCAGGCTCAGCCTACAGCCCAGATAGCCATTAACGAGAGCCCTCCGTCTTCTTCTCTCTCTCCCTTTCTTTTTGTCTGAGCGAACAGAGAAATGAAAGTAGCCAGCATCTCGGTCTTATCCACAGAGGAGTAGAATAGATTTCCCTCCTCTCTTCATACAGATACAGTGTGTTTCTGTCGGCACCCTGGCAGAGTAAAAGCAACACTGAGAACTGAAAAGAAATGAGGACAGAGTAAAGAAACAGAAGGCAAATGGAAGAGGAGACAAAGATGAGCAGCGGAGAGCATTAGTAGAGTCTAAGCCTTTTGGCAAGTGTCTTAGTTTAGGTGATTTCCCCTCAGAACATGAGAACATGTGTTTTAAGGTTCTGTTTAAGTGCATCGCCCCAGGGTCTACCTTGAGTGGGACAAAGCCTGCAGCGTGTACACATTAAAAAAATTCAGCTTTTCCAAGTACAGAAACTAATATTTTGGACTCGGTTTGAATCGGTCGCTACATCCATCAAATTACACCTAATGAGAAGTTTGATTTGCAACAGACATAACCTTCACATTACCCATAAATCCTTGGCCATAACAAGGTCACGATGTGAATCCACTAATGATTATGTTGACCATCACTGTGAATGGCTGCAGATGAAGAATGTTAAAGGCTACTTAAGGTCGCTGACTGATGGGCCTTTGTTTTGCTATTGGAGACAAAAAGGACATCTCCTCTACTGGACAATTTTTCATACTGCAAAAGGCTGTAGACACTACAAGACTATGACAAGATTGACTTTTTAATTCAAATTCAAATGACTCCAAAGTGAAAGAAAATCTTCCATATTCCAAGAAAAATTTAACGAAGTTACAATTTAGAAAAAAATCTTTTGGTGTCTATTAGCCTTTTTACTAGCAGCTCCCAGCTATTTGTATCTTTAGGACACCAACATGTCTCCTGTGCTTTAGGATAAGAATGGTGAAATGGTTTAGTTAAATACTGTTTGTTTTATTAATCATAAAACCTGTTGAAATGCAACTGTTGAAAGACTTAAGATTCACCAATATAACTTTCACAGTTTCACCAACAGTGTGCATGCTCTTAACGTCTCTGAATTTATGTCCAAAGGCTAAGTTGAATATTTCCTTCACTTTTTTTGATATGTGCAGTGTGATGCAATTTCATGAAAATTATTTTATCTTGCTATTTTCTCTCTGCAAAGTGAAATAATATCCATGTACACTATCAATGATCTAGTTTCCTGGTTGAGAAACCTCACCTGCTTCTTTCCTCCAGCTCTTCAGACCAACGAGATTTTGCCTTCATCCTCACTGTGTCAAAAATAAAAGAGATAACAGATATGACAAGCCAAAAGCAATGTAAAGATGCACTTCACTTTTCCCTCACATCTCACTCTACCTCAAACAGACCGTAAATGAACAGTCGCTCACCACCTATAGGCAGCACATGGTCCCTGCCACCGACCTGAGGACCTCACTCTTAATTCACTACAGGACCCATAGACCACACGGGGTGCACCGAGCCCTTTTGACATTTTACTGATTGCATACTTTTGAGTAGCAAGTTGATTCCCATACAAAAGGAATAAAAGTTGAAATTGGACTGTATGATATGGAAAATGTTTAGCAATGTAAAGGCTAGTATGTGATTCGTAGTAAAACGTGCAGCAACAAAAAAAAACTGGTATGTTACTGAAACATGCATTTTGGATGAGTTTTGAGGGTGCTGGAAATTTCTTTGCCCTCCATACTGTCCACCCTGCCAAGAATACTGTCCCTGCCCTGCTGGGGCCCCACTGAGTGCCTGCCTATCTCTCAATAACCTCTGTAGGAACCACGGAGCCATGGATAGACACGAGTATCACAGCAGGTCCCGCTCTGCAGACCAGCGGCCCACTATAGAGCGCCCCACGTCCCGCTCGCGCTCCACTGAACGCCCCCACGACTCTTCGCTCATGAGGTCCATGCCGTCTCTGCCATCTGGGAGGTCCGCCCCCCCCTCACCTGCCTTGACGAGGTGTGACCCAGATCAGAGACGCTAACCATCTTAGCACAGAAGCAGACTGGAGTTTTAGCTGTACAATCATTTCCCTGAGGCATAGCTACTCTGGAGGGAGAGATAATTTAAACATTAGCTTGAAACATCAATAAGTACACCAAAAGAAAATCACAGTAACATTGTTAGACCAAAGCCCAGAGAATTCATTAAGGCTACTATTATGCTGCTAACTGGGAATATGCCATATAGACATACAGAGATCTTATAGAGGTTAGTTAGCCTAGCTACCAGGCTAGCTACCTAGCTTACCGAAATAGCTTCACATTAGGCTATTTAGATATGCTAGGTAATGTTAGCCCACTGACTTCATGATTTGCTTGTCATAGTAACAAATTAATCAAAAGAAGGAGTAATTGTTGTTAATATTCTCATGTTTGTTCTTGCTATGCTACAGGTCTAGCTACGAAATATAAATCAGCTCCTTTGTGAAAATCCCTGGTTCTTCTAAATCAACCGATAGGATTATTTCTGCCCCCAGAGCAGCTCTACCTCTGCTAAATGTTTGCATCACTAGAACCTTTGTACAACTCAAACCAGCACAGACCCCGTCCCACCCACCCGAGCCTGACTAACTCACAGAATGAACCAGAACAAAAAACAAACAAACACATCACCACCACCTAACTCCTACCCTCCCAATACCCTGCTTCCCCACCTCACCTCACTTCACCCCACCCACCTCCCCCTCACGACTACCTCCCACCTAGCCACTTTCTGTTTTGTCCCCAAAAGCACCGGTGCTGTATTTTCTTTACCCATGTTCCAGGCACAACACCCCCGACACCGTAGGGGGCGTGCTGATGTTTTAATTTGGAACACACTGCTCATACGCTTGCGTGAGTATAGCAGTGATGGGCCGACTTTGATTCCATTACTAACATCAACTGATGCCGTTTATCCTGTGATGGCATTTCTGTTTCCTTTCTTCTTTTGTTTTGAGTTGAAGCCTTTTGGGGACAGTCTGAACGCATGGTCGCACTGGTCTGCCGTTCCTGCATTGAACTATTCTCTCCTTGCAGCTTGATGAGTCGACTGCACATGCGGTTCACACACCTGGCATCTTTTTTTTATTGCAGCTCAGTTCCCTACAGTTGATGTGTCCCTCCACTCCCATGCCATGTGCCAAACTTCATTGCTGTGTGCATTGGTTTTATAGTTGGAGATCTTTACAAAGTTACTAAATGCTATACATTTTTGCTATGGATAACTCTTTACATGGAGCTATGTAACCACTATTAGTTCTGTCTCGTTCAAGAAACTTGATTTGATTTTTAAATTCAGCTTTAAATCATAAAACAAATACAATGATCTCTCAGTCGCTGATTATCTCCAATTGAGCCTGACAGTGACATCACAATAAGTAACAATGTGATCCAACCTATATGATAAATGATCAAACTGGTGTCAGTCTCCCATCATAGTAGAGAGCTTTACTTTTTTATGTTAAGCTTTACCTCCTGAAATCAAACTTTCCAATTTATTTGAAAAACGCAATTACTTTTTTCACACTGTGATGTGGGTGCGACATGGCCAGGCCCTGCATCCACCATCAGATCTTGTCCTAATTTGTGTCCCACCCCGTTGTCCGCCACTTTTTTGTCATGTAGGGCGCATCCTCGTAGTGGATCGGTCCAGACCAGTCCCACCAGTACCCCCATGTCCAATAGACGAGGACGGCAACTCCCACAGCTTCCACCCACGGGGAAAGAGAGAAGTAAGTCACCTTGGTTGTTTTCTATTTGCATTACAGGGTCTGTGAAGAGACGTGAAGACACCATGAGCCTCATGATGGTATCGTTTTTATTTGGTGGCCCAACTGATTGGGGCTGAGAAGCAGCGGTTGCTGACTTTCAAGCTTCATCTTTGACTGTAAGAGTTTTCTTTGCTGGTGGAATCTTTGAGGTCATATCTTATACACGAGGATTTTTCCTTGCTGTTGTTTATTGCTGTTTACTTTTGCCTGCCACCCATAACATTTCCACTCGGTTCCCTTTTCCATTTCTCTCTCAGAAGATGGAGACGAAGGAACAGAACCTAGTGAAGGTCCGTACCGTACCGGGTTTAGTCTTTCAGGCTGGGCGCGTTGAGCCGCACCTTACTCTGAAGGCCCAAACCCAGTCTGCAATGGCGGGCGGCTGGGTTTACTGGAGGCTACTCGGTGCTCCTTGAACCCTCCCTCTGTTGCAGCTGTGTTTAACGTAGGGTTTGGATGTCCTGTACCGTTGTGTTGTGCTTACCTGTAGGCGTGTCTGGATTCTACCATTGATTGTACCAGTGTGGTGTGTTTTGAGTTACACTCTGAACATCTTTTTCTATCTGTCTTGGAGTTATTGATTCATTTAAACTATTTGGACTGCTGAGATACTTCATTAAAGCCAATGATTCTGTATCAACTAAACAGGGTGAGCTTGATGCTGCATCTCCGCGACTACAAAGTGACATTCAAAGTCTGATTGTTCCTCAGCACTTCTTTAACAAATGTCATGTGTTGTAGCGACTTGTGACGTGTGCCTTAAGAAGAGCCGCGATGAAAGCGCTGATTATTCCACTCGTGTCTTTGAAACAGACGCAGTGGAAAAACAAAGACTATTGCAGCTTTGCAGTGATTGGAAGGGAATGACTGGGTCAAAGATAGAGGGGGGGGGGGGGGGGGGGG